TGAACTTGTGTTGCAAAACACTAAACAGAGGACAGCAAAACTTAAACAACTAAAGCACAGTTCTCATCGTTTACACACAATGATTCAAAATTGTTCACACTTGTTTCTAATTATATGATGAGAAGATACAAATTATAAGCCAGTTCAAAGTGCACAGATGGCACAGGTACATCCATCAACTATGGATAACAATATGAGAGGTAGAGGAATATGAGGTGTTTTCTGGCGGGGCCCAGCTCAAAGACATGATCCTGAGGCAGAATAATCTTTCTGATGTGTTTTTTTTTTTTCTTTTTTGATTGTAACATGGTTTTTGGTAAATTCACCATACTTAAGTGTGATTTCTTTTGTTTTGACAATAAACTTTTATTTTTGTAACTACATGCCCTGGATGCTGTGTTCTCCATTATTTGATCTAGTGTCTAATGAATGAGCTGCAGTGTGTATATGACTGACTTATGCGTGTATGATCTGAAAGCATTGTTTCATTTTGAGTGCTGGTAAAATGGTTTTGAAGTAATTGTTTGATTTTGCCAGAAGAGTCAGAGGTTTTGTGAATTTAGATTGAGTATTTGGATTTGTGTTTGAGAAAATGAGTGGTGGTTTCAAGAAATGTGTTTTAGCAATTCAGAAAAACTGTATTACCATCTACAAAGTAGCAGTGGCCCAGTGTGTTTTTGGGATAACTGACATGCTGTCTGTATTTGGGCAGTTTGTGGATGAGATTTGCTCTGTTAAAATCCTCTAGAACAGTGGGGAGTGGGGATTTTTCAGTTCCACACTAGATTGCAGTTGACAAAGAGAGTCTTTAAGTCCATGTTGCATGCTCATTCTAATACTGTGACATCTTTACACCAACTGCTTTGTATACCTGGAGCACCAGTATTTGTAGTGCACTGTTTGAGAAGGAGTCACTGAGCTAAGTCTTCCAAATCAAATCAATTAGATTTAATCAAAAGAGCTCAATCAAGTAAGATATGTTAATATGTTAATGAATGAAGGTATACACATCTTGTCAAACAAAAAAATATGAGGTGCCCTGTTCGGTGCCACTTACTGGTTGGTGAGCAGTTTATTATCTTGCTCTGTTTTCATCTGTTTTGGCTGCTGTGGTTGATCTGATGCACCTGGCTAATTTATCTCACCTGTTGCTTGCTGACTCAGCCCAATTTAAGCTGCTCTGCTTCCCTTCTCCAGTCACCAGATAGTTGTGTTCCTGTAATGCTTTCCAGGTGTCACTTGTGTCCTGAGTTTTTGAAACCAGTTAGTGGACTTGTTTTCTGCCTGCCCTGACTTCCCTCCTGCCTAACCCTTTGTGTGTCATAAGCCGCCTGAACTGCCCAGTCTTGACATGTTAGCTGTTGCTGACTAAGAAGCCTGCAGGCCATCTTTCTTTGCCTCTGCCTTCACATAGTTTTATTGTGACTGAGTTAAAGAATTTGTGTGTTAGCTGGATGAAGAGGACTGTTCAAGTTTTTCTGATGCTTGTGCATAGTTTTCTGGTGTTCAGTAAGTCAAGTAGATTCTGTAGTGTAACATGGGTTTTCAGAATTTTTTTTTTTACCTGATCCCTGCTATTTCCAGCTTTTGCTTTCCACTTCTCTCTCCCTCCAAAACCTTAATATTAACCACAGTTATAGATGAAGTCAACTTGTTACATTTTAACCATAAACCTATAAATTGATTTTTTTATTTTAAAAACAGCCAACCCTTCTACTACACATATTTTGTAAATTGTGTTTTGCCATTCTTCAATTCCTGGTACATCTGAATGTAGGATACATTATGCTGGCTATCAGTGACATTCTCAAACATAAACACTAGACAGCACTCAGGAGCTGTGTTTCCACTTTGGGAACCTAACAAGCAATCCCGTGCTTCCCTTAACTGTGACCTGGCATGACCACATGGGTTGACATGGACCATCCTATTTGCTCTTCCACTGTACTTTTCAATGTTGAGCAGCACATTCCAATCCAAGTCCTTTACACTGGTAGAGGCAGAAATCTCATAATTTAAAACTTAAGCAAAAAGCAACTATCGGTATTGTATGATACTAAGTTTAAAAAAAAGTTATACAAAATGAATCCGTTATTGTCAGTTTTCTCACCAATTGTCATGACATCGATACTGTGCAGTTTTGGGGGTGGTAGTCATTTTCTCATGTTTTTGCCGGTGTTAGTTGGTTGGCACAACTCAAACAAATCCTGATTCAGCCGAGATGGCTAAAAGACATTAACTCAATATTTGCTTTTATGCTGGCTGGTATAAAACTTGGGTTTTAAGCAATAAGCAATTTGAGTTCGTAGGGGACAGTCCCTCTGATAAATCCAAGAGCCCTACTGCTTGATCCAAATGCTCCTGTGCCTGTAAGGTAAACCTTATAGCAGAAACGGTGTGTAAAACTGAATACATTTTTTGCAGCTGCTATGGTTCAGGAGAACCTCTTCACCAGAAGATTGGCGCTTAAGTTCTTTGCTGTTTGATTCCTGGCTTCTTCAGCCCACATGTCAAAGTGTCCTTGAGCAAGACACTGAACCCTGAACTGCTTCCACTGGCTGCTACATAATTGTCTGCTTGCGAGTGTGAACGGGCAATTAGTCTGAAAGCACCAAGTGTGCTTCAATACATAGAAAAGTGCAATACAAGTCCATTTGCCATTTTTCTGAGCATCATAAACCCGGTGCAATTACTCTTATCAGAATTAGATTCATTGGGTCCCATATCATTTGGAAATGTCAGGGAGGGGAAAGTACAGCTCCTGTCGAGGTGTAGGTGTGAACCTGCTTAAAGAGCCAGTAAGGTGGAATAGCAACAGGTTTTAATAATCTCAGGAACAGAGTCAGATATACACAGTACCAGTCTGAAGGGCTTAGGCAGAGAGCAGTACTTAGTTTGGTCCACGGTCGGTACCTCCAGCAGGGAAGGCAGAATCTCGAGTCAATAGCACAGGCAGGGTGTCAGTGTTCAGATAATCAGGCAGCAAGACCACTGGAGAGTCTAGTCAAGGCATAGAACAATCTGGCAGCTCCCCACAGAGTGAGGAGCTGCTATATACTGTGAGGAACAGGTGTGACTGATGAAATAGCAGGTGAAACTAATCTGAATGATGACATGAAGTTCCCAGAATGCAGGGTGAGCTGGGGACAGGAAGCAGTAACAAATAAGAGCATACTTGCAGGAAGTGAACGGGGCAGAAACATGACAGGAAAGTCTAGTTGAACCATATGATATTTTTATTTTGTCCCATTCATGTGCGTGGAGCCAACCAGAAGTCAGACAGCGTGACCAGCAGGAGTCTCTGCTCTATGCAAATACTGTACCCATGCCATATGGGCCCAAAAATGCTTAGGCATGCAGAACATGTGGTAAGGATGAACCACTTGGGAAAAAAATGTAATTGCAATCGTTTTTAGCCACATTTCAACTGCAATTTCAAATCCATCTGCACTATTACTGCAAACAAACTTTGTTCGAAATGACAGTATGAGGACCAACCCAACATGTACCACTGGTGCTGACTGTAAATTTACCGCTGTTCAGCTTTGTTAATAAATTGTATTTGTAGTTTTCACTTTGCTCTCTATAAGTAGCTATTTAGCTGTAGGCTAATGTGTGTGAGAGATCAGAATTCCAACTGGACAGCACAGCAGAAAATACATGGGAGAATTTGAAAGCCTTTGTCATGTTCAGACTTCTGACTGAAACATATGGCTATTTCCCGGACTCAGCATGTACCAGTGTAAAATCGATTTGTATCAGGCTTACAACACATACTAGTACATATACTAATTAGTATATTTTGGATCAGCACTAGTGTGTGTCACTGAGCAACTTTAGGAGGAATGAATAGGCACCGCCTGTACAGCACTACAGGTCCCTGTACACCTGTACACTAAAACAACCAGACACAGGGACAGGTTCTTACCCTAGGCCATCACTCTGATGAACGCTTAACCCATGACAGTATAACACAATGACAACCCTCAGTGTAATACCTTGTAAATATACCTTTGTATATATCTATCTGGAAAAACTGAACTGTGTGTGTCTGTATATATACATATATATATATATATCTGTATTTATAATTACTTTATTTTCTGTTTTCTTAATGTACATTCCTTTTTCTTGTTTGTTTCTCTCAGTCTTATCTTGTTTACTTGTCTACTCATTGCCACACAGAAGAACACTGTACATACACACTGAGAGCCACTTAACCAGAGTCAAATTCCTCCTGTGTCCAACACACCTGGCCAGTAAAGCTGATTCTCATCTAGTATCTAGTATCCAGTTCTCCTATAATACATCCATGGGGTAGGGCAGCTAACCTTTAAGGCTTAAAATGGGCCTTCATTTTTGTGAAAATTCAAAAATATCTTCATGGGGCTGGTCACAGTTCTTGAACAGCTAAACATTGTGATTGCTAACTTCTTGTGTTATGCTAGGAATGAGGTACGTTCACCAGCGATAGGGTTAATGAATAATAAATTAACTTGTTTTTCTGCAAAGGAATGCAGCTCATGAACAAAGCAAACACACAGTGGTTGCTTATTCAGGCATGGTGTTATGTGTGGTGAATTTGGGGTCAGGGTATTAATAAATAAAATTGTAAATATGTAGAAATTAGTAATTCCACATTGACTGTGTGTGAGTCAGCCATGCAGAAGTAGCAGTGCTTGGTATATAAAAGGAAACACACACATCTATTTTCATCTATTGCAGAGACTCTACATGGATGTACTTTCATTTCCTACAGACCTACCCTCTCCTTAACCATAACACCTACTTGTCAAACTTTAACCTAAATGTAACCTTACCTTAACTTTAAACAAAACTGTAAAATTTACATGGTGGGGGCCAGCATCAAGCCCTCTGAGGAAGAATCCCCACCGTATAACTGTGTAAACAGGTTTTAGTCCCTACAGTGTGAGATATGCCACACACACACACACACACACACACACACACACACTTGTAAATAAGACAAAAACACTCACCCCATGTGAGGAAACCAGAGACATACTTCTCCCTTGCAAAGGATGAGCAGTAGAACTCTTGATAGACACCCACCAGCAAGTCCAAAAGGGTGTGGAGCCCAACAGGTCCTGTTGTCTGGGGGCCCTTGGCTAGGTCAGATGTGTTGAGGCCAGGGCCCATTGACATGTTGCACAGTCGTGAGGTGCAAATTTTGGCTTAGAGTTGCAGAGAAACTTTGGTGTCCATGGTGTACTGGATTTACACTGCAAAAAGCTGGATCTTCTTCTGTCTCTTGGCTTACAATTTCTCTTGTCTCTTCACATTTGTAGCAACAGTCCACCCTCACTGTCTTCTTTGGACTGCATTCTCCACCGATACACACACTTACTGTTTGCATCTCTTTCTGGATCACTACCTAAGCCCACCCCTTGCCCCTCGTGATATGCCTTTTCTTTATACCCTCTCTGCCTAATCACAGTACAGGAGCATGCTTTCTATACCAACATCCTCTTTTAACCGTTCATGTTCCCTCTCTTCCCTCTTGCTTCCAGTTTGTTCTTTTTTTGCTCTTTCCTTTTTGTCTTTATATGTCAGTTCACTCCTCTGCCTGTTTGTCTGCCTCTGTCTGTTGCCTTGTTCTTCTCTCCTCATGGCTCCCCAAGGCTGTGCATTATCTGTCAAGCCTGCAATTTCTCCAGCTCTGACTCAGGACCTTTTTTGGTGTTTGAGTTGCCCTCTCTGTCTCTCCCCACTCCCTCTATTGAAAGTACAGTACTCCAAACTTACTATTACAAAAGTCAAACCTAGTAGAGAAGCATACATGCTATCAATCAGTTCCCCTTTACTTTGTCCATCTATTAGTAACTGCTTTATGACCTGTCTTTGTTTGCTTTCTTCCCCCGTGACAGAGAAAACAGGAACCAAAGACTTGAATGAGTGCTAGCTGTTGCTCATACACTATGTTTTGAAGAGTGCAAATCTGTTATGTCCATCCATCCAAATATCCTTTTGTATCCCAGCTGTCTTGTCCTTCTCTCCCCTCTGTCACTCCTCTCAGGCCTCGTCTTGTCATGGTCTAAGGGAGATCCCTCAATGAGTCTTTTTCATGGATGCAGCAAAGAGAGTTTCCTATTGACCATCCCACTGGTTTTGAAAATCCTTCACTGTCTGGTCATTTGCTTAATCTCTCTGTCCCGCTTTCATTCTTTACTGCTAGCTGTTTTCTCTTCCTCCTCCCTAACATTTCTGTTTTAACATGCCATCTTTATTGCCCCTCTTTACAAATACATTACAGCTTCCACACAGCACTGCCATCTCTCCATTTCAATAGGATTATATTTTTGTCAAACTAAAGTGAAGCTTCAAAAATACAGTAAGCATGAGTGTGTACAATGTGCATTGTACATTTCTCAGTGAAGTTGAGTTACCAATCACACGAGTGAAAGTAATATTAACAAAGGAAAAAACTCAAAAAAGAAGATATATTTTACTGACACATTTATAGACACAGTTAAAATAATATGATTTGAGTGGTGAATTAATATTTTGCGGTTTTGAAAAATTATATGTAATTCTGTTTGAACCCAGACTGGGAGCTGCTTTCACAGGAGAGGAGATTTGGATGACTAAAGACTCTGCCTTCAATTTTTGTAAACTCTAGGAACCACAAGTAGACCAGCGCTCTGAGAGCAAAGTGTTTTATTGCGATAAAATGGTACTATGAAATCTCTAAGAAATGATGGACTGATCATTAAGGCCTTTGTGTGTAAGAAGGATTTTAAATTCTACTCTGAACTGAAGCAGCCAGTGTTTCCTTATTGACATCATAAGAACATGACTAATATTCCACACTGAACTCAAAATGTAAACAATGTGAATGTGATGTTTTAGGGAAACTGAAGGACACAATAAGCAAAGTTAGGGCTTTTAGAGAACATTCAGCTTTGTTTCATGACCACGCAAATTTATTATACATTGTTATATAATAAATTACCCTTGCGCTGTCTGTTAATGCAGTCCACACAGCAGCCAATAGTAAGTTATGGTACAGATATAATTAGACAAATGTAAAGTGTTTTGAGAGCATTTCAATGCATAGAAAGGTGCCATATAAGACCATTACAGATCAATTTAGCTGAAACATCAGTATAGGTGTATAAAAATAACTGAGTTTCCAGTTAGTGCTTAAGTGTCAACCTTACATGCACATCACCCTCCTGGAAATAAAAAGAAAGGCTTGTTAACTTTGAAATCTTGTTGATTAGAAGCATACTCACAATTCTCGGTGAAAAATGTCTGATCAGGCTACTTAAAATGGAATCACCATCTAACATGGCATCAGCAACTCTGTTAAATCTCCAAAATGTAGCAAATCTGTGCAGCAAGGACAGCTCACCTGCTAATCTGTATGTAGAGGGCCCCATGTTGCTGCACACTCACGTGTTACATCAAAGACTATGTTTGTAATTGAAGGTGACATTAAACCTGTCAGCTTTTAAAGCACGTTTGCACGTCAGTCTGAACGTGCGGTGCTGTGTGCGTCACTGAACAGGGCACTCTGGGAAAATGAAGGGAGATGAGAAGCGAAACAGAGGAGAAGGGGAGGAGGTGACTGAGAAAAGCTGAAGCTGTGACTATCAAGAAGAAGTAGTGATGACTTTTTAACAGAAATAGTCCAGTTTCTTAGTTATTTGTATAAAATTAAATAGTTGGAAAACCACATTGTTTTGATCCACAATATCTTTGTTA